ACAGAGCCTGTTATCGAAGACAGCTTTTCCTTCATCTGGGACAAAGGCCCCACCAAAAGGCTTCCGACACCTGAGATTTACTCCTGGTGCTGACTCAGATGACTTCACCCAAGCTCCTCTTGTCAACATTAATCCCTTTACACCAGAGTCATATCGGCAAATGCTCTTTCGCCCTAGTGGCAAGCGGAAGACCAGAGGAGAGCTGTAAGTGAGCTACTCTTAAATAATAGGTTGGAAGGAGACTGCAGGAGTTAAGTGATGATGGAGACATTATGTACCTTATTTGCTAACAATGACTCATTCACTTCCATAGTATTTGTTGGTGTAGAGCAAACATTAGCAGATGTATGAAGGTAATAGAAATATAAATAAAATCAATACTTTCCCTTGTTCAGAAATGTAAGTGGAAGATCAAGAGCTATGGCTGTAGAAGATTGTACCTCTGTTTCTCAACCATGGGCAGAGTGGAGCTTCAGTCAGTTGTGTATGTACCCACAACTTGGAAGAAATGTGCATGTTTGCAAGTAATACAACTTTTAAGATAGGTCCAGGGCATTTCTGACCTGCAAAAGTCCTGGGTCTGGTCTATATTAACCAAGACACAAACTTAGTCAAATACCTGTGCACTACGATGATGTTCAGCTTCTTTTATAGCCTCAACTACAGCAGAAGCTCAGCTGAGTATCCCCCTTGGAAGCACAATGGGATGCTTCTACTCCTTTACTAGGAGCTTGTTGTGCAAGGTTGCTTGTTGTCTCATGTAGATTCACCAGTAATAAGCTGGCTGGGAGAATGATGTCCCTGAATGATGCTACTCTGTCCTGTGGGCAGTAGTGAGGTTGGTATGTAGAGGCTTTCCAAATGGAAAAGACTTTCTAGCCTGGGACTACAGCCTTTAAGGCCTCAACTAGAAGCTCATTGTGTGTTAATGGTCTACAAACTGCATCTTTTAAATTAAATTATGAAGCAAGGTTTGGAGATTCTTTTGAAAAATATTTTAATTTCAAATCTCTGTTGGAGTGCTGCATTTAAATGTCACACCCAGACTTTTCTAAATTTCTCTTATAGGAGGGATCCTGATCCAAGAAACCAGATAAAACAGGAACTACCCACAACAGTGAGTGTCTGTGTATTTCCCCCACAGAGAGGATAAGGTTTGGTGCTTGGTGAAATTTATTCTTCTACTGGAGTATAAATCATGGCATCATGACAGAGGATGAATTCCTGACAGAATAATGCCAAGCTAAATGTTTCATGTTAATATTTGTGAAAAAAATACTTGGTAATGATTCCTTTCTCTAAAGGAAATGTACTAAAGCAGATATGAAACTGACAAATAATCCTAAAACTAATTTATTTTGGTCGTGAGGTTTTTCTAGGGAATATAATATACTTTGTGTTCCTCCAGTGGAACTGTATGACTATATTATTGAGTTAGTGTAAAAAGTGACTGTACTTTTGTGGATTGAAAAAGCAGGTGTTTTGCTGTCTCTATAAATCATTATACTTAGCAACTTTGAGTGTGAAGGGAACATGGCTTCCATATTGCCAATATACAGACCTGCACTGCAAAAACAAGGCTGAGCTGAACAGCTCTGATATGGATAAGTACTGAGGAAAGTTCAAATTGCAGTGGTCACAGTGGCAAACTTCTGAAGCAAGGCAGCAATTCTGTATTTTCCTTCAGTAGGAAAATGTCCATCTGGGGCTGCCTGTGTGCCTTGGGGTCCAAGGGAAGGCCCCAACACAGCTTACATAGGTACAGAACAGCAAACATTGTCTTACAACACAAAGCCAAGTGCTCTTACTATTGCCAATGTCTGTGCTTTGCTGGCAAACCTCAGTGGTGGAGCAGGTTGGCTTGGCTGCATGAGGCAGTGTGTGAGCTCTTGTGTCCCCCCAGCTCTGCTGGCAGAACAGGGCAGCTGGTGTGGGAACCTGTGTCCTGCAGCAGTCTTCCTTATTTCCACTTTTATCTGGGGAGGAGATACTCATTCAGCTGGCCTCTGGAATGCAAGCCAAGCCTGAATTAAATATCTGTGCTCAGATGAGATAAAACTCTTTTTTTCTGGACAACTCCTTGAAGGAAGAATCTTGTCTTGTGCAAGTAGGTAGAATTGTTCATTGTATTTGTGAAGTAATTAGGCTTACTGGAAGAATAATAGTCCCCTCTAGCCGAGGAGACTGGTATTGCAGAAAAAAACTGGTCTCCGTGGAAAAACTACAGCTGTAATAAATGTTACTAGGTAACTTCTGAGGGTGCCACAATTATTGTTTTCCTTAGAAGAAAGCCTCAAATAACTTGTGACTTAATGAAATATTATTCTGCTCGAGTGCTGATGAGGTTGAGTATGTAATATAGTTATAAAATTGTGTACCAGGAGCTTTTAAAGGTACTGTAAAATACAGCTGCCTTATGAAATATGACCTGTTGTGAAGGGCTGCTGTTTCACATGGGCTACATCTTAATGGTTGTGAGAACCAACTGTTATCCCCACCCTTTAAGATCCTACACTACAGTAATCATAACAGGGTTTTCTGTGGAAACCACTGTAAAACAAGAGCTGCTGTTTCTGTAAGGGATGCAAGAGAATGAAGAAAAATCACTTAGTCCACTCCCTTGCTGCTCACTCACGCTCCACTGCTTATCTTTTTTAACTTACCTGCCTTGCCAGCAGGGATCACTCTGCAAGCAGTGCCAGCAGCTCCAATTTCCTAGGGACCACTACTGTAGCAATAACATCCAGCTGTTCTGTAGGCTTTCTGTCCTTTGTGAGAAAGTGGCTCCTGGTGAGAAATTGCTGAGAATAGCAATAGATACACTGAGCCTTGCTAATGTGCCAGTGGTCAGCAGCTGGTGCCTTCAACCTGATGAGAGCTTGAACTGATGCAGTGTGTGTCCTTGCTTCAGGCAACCTTACCTGCCAGAATAAAGCAGCTCTTACCAGCTCAAAGTAAAGCATAGCTGGGACCACACGGAGTCAACACACCAGGCTTCTTTCCTAAGCTCAAAATTGGCCATGGCTCTCATGTAAACACAAGGTCAGTACTGGAGTCTGACCAGTTCAGAAGTACTGGACTTCCACCTACCAAGACTGGTAACAGGTGTTCTCGAGTCTGCAGTAACTCATCAAAAGACAAGTATTTTCTTGTTGCTGACTCCATCAGCAATGGGTCTAAGAACTGGGCAGAGCTGCCAAGAGAAGAGGTGTGATGGTAGTAACCCACAGAGGCTTAGACACAGCCAGCTAGCTGAAAATTCTGCTTCAGTGGCTGACAATTATTGATAAAACAAACAAACAAACCCTTTGGACAAATCAGGCCAAGCTGGCCTTTGTTAGCTGGTCAGAAAAAAACCCACAACATGCCTAAGTGAAAGGTAGCATTTTAAGAACTGGCAGTGCACCTGCATGCATGTCTGGATGAGCATACAGAAGGAAGAGAAGGAGCAATATAGGTTGTCTGAGAGAACAAGTGCTACACAGCTCTAAAAGCACAACAGATGTTATTGAAGTCTTTCAACTCATACTTGTCTTTGCTGTTTTTATGACCTTGTAGAGATACCCTCTGAAGGAGAGCAATATGGTTTCCCGCTACAAGAAGGAGTTCCTGGAACTAGAAAAAATTGGTGTGGGGGAATTTGGCTCTGTCTACAAGTGCATCAAACGTCTTGATGGATGTGTTTATGCCATCAAACGCTCCAAAAGGCCTCTGGCAGGATCCTCGGATGAGTGAGTGTGCTAGCTAGAGACTGCCAGTTGCAATGATGGGCATGTTCTTGGGAAGTGTGAAGGGGAAGGAGGGAGTGTGGATCTAAAGGTATCATCTGAGGGGTGGCATGAGCAAAAATGGGCTGTTGTTTCACTCCCAAGTAACAGTTGGGAGAGAGGGGGAAGTTAGCACTTTAGGACTGTTGAATATAAATGTCTGAAATGAAAGAAGTCACATGCATTGCAAAGTGAGGTGACAGCTTACCTGAACTCCTCATGTCCAAGCGGTTAGTCTCTTTAAATAATGGTCAAATAATTTATTTGTGATATGTCCCTGCCCTGCTCTATGGCCAGCACTGCTCACATCTGTATTGACCAGCTGCATGCCAAAGCAGAGTCTTTAAAGCTGCCTTTGCTTCCTAAACAAGAGACTTGCTCAGTGACTTTTTTTTGACTGCTATTCAGCACAGTTGAGCAAGGGCAGGTTTTGTTTCAGCAGCCAGTGCATGCACTCAAACCCAAGAGAAAATCCTAAACACCTCTGCTTTCCCTTTCTTAAGCTGGGCTGCAAACCAGGGCTCACGTCCTGGTCTCAAGCAGCCCCCTGTCACCACTGCTCTTTCTGTGTGTGCTTCTCCAGGCAGCTGGCACTGCGTGAGGTCTATGCTCACGCTGTCCTTGGACACCACCCTCATGTCGTGCGCTACTACTCAGCGTGGGCAGAGGATGATCACATGATTATCCAAAATGAACACTGCAATGGTAAGAGCTGTGACGTTGTTATGTGCTGAGATCTCAGGATGGGTGCATTTCTTTGCTTAAATACGGGACACCTTGGCTTCCAACAAGGCTAACTGGACTGGGGCTACAGTTTCATGGCGAACCCAGTAAGGGCTCACACAGACAAAGCTCTGAATGGTGCCAGTGTCTTATTGGAATTGTAAAACTGTTCCTCTGTGTTGGCTGGCCTGGCCAGTATTTCCCATATAGATGCTTAGAACTGTATCTGGCACTGATATAAGTGACTCAAGAGCAGCTAAATGAAGTGCCATGTATCTTGGAAATAAATCCTGCTTAAGGGGAGTAGTGGTTTGAAGAGTGCCTGTTTGGTTGAGATGAAGGCAGCTTGCATCTTGCCTAGATGAAAGGGCTCAACAGCTGCAGATGAACAGAGCTAAATAATGAGGTAACCCATAAATGGGTTGCTGCAGTCAGGATGGTACACTCTTTGCTAAATAATGAGGTAACCCATAAATGGGTTGCTGCAGTCAGGATGGTACCCTCTTTCTTGGGTTTGCCCTTGGCCATACCACTGTTTCGAAGACTTTGGAAAAGACACATGTAGCTACTAGAAGAGCTGAAGAAATGTATAACTCATCTTCAAACTGCTCCTGCAGCCCTGGGGCTCAATGATGAGTGGTGGTAACTATTTAGAATTACTTCAAATCCAGTGGAGGTAACCATGAAACATGGTGATCATTGTTGCAGCATTGATGTGTTTGTGTTCCAGCACATGAACATCTGAGGCTAAAGGAAAAGTGGTGAAAAGTAGGCTGATAGAGACACCATGGTATTTGCTAGTCCTGAAATAGCCAGAGCACCTTAACAGAGATCCACTAAATGCAGTTTCTGTGTCAAATGTTATGTTCTTCAACCAAAAACCTGTTAGTGGGAGTTTAATGTCTTTACTCCACCATTCATATACCTGCCTTCTGCCTGTAAGCATGGCAAAGGTATTTCAGTTCTCCACTGCTTACTTGCAGCAGCAGCAGCATCACTCCCAAGTCAGCACTCCTGGTGCTGTAGGTTGGACTGTTTGCTCAGTCCTTGGCAAGCAGCAGGCAGGATGCTCTGAGGCAATGGAAAGGCTGAAGACAAATGGTGATGTCAAACTGTGATCACTAGTTGGTCTGGTCAGGGTTTGTCACTAGCAAGCCTGCAAGTGCTCTTGGCAATAGTTTATACTAAGCTATTTCAAACATACTGCTCCATAAAATCTTCATCAGGTCTCAGACAGACTGTTTTCATCTAGGTGGGAGTCTCCAAGATGTGCTGATGGAAAATGCAAAGCTTGGCCAGTATTTCACAGAAACAGAGCTGAAGGACATGTTGTTGCAAGTCTCCATGGGGCTCAAATACATCCACAACTCTGGCCTTGTGCACCTGGATATCAAACCTAGTAAGTATAGTGCTCTCCTCCTGACAGAGGCTCCTCTAAGTAACCTGCTGAGGGTAGACCCTGTGGTAGGTCCTTCTAAAGGGACCTATTGCAAGAGGATCTTGCCCTGAGAGGCCCATGTCTTGTGAGGTTTTTTTAATCTTGCCACTATGGCTTTAAAACTGAGTCTTCTCTGAGAGTTTGCAGCTTTTTTGCTTTGTCTTATGATCTTCATAACACTGGCTCATGCATGGGAATCACTTTCATACTAATGGAGCAAGTAGGGCTGCTAATGAAGATGGAGACTTCCTTATTTGCTGCTGTCTTCCTGCACAACACTTGACCTTTGTATGTGACAGCTGGAGCGAGAAGTGAATATTGTACCTACCATGAGGGATTAAGTTCCTGCAAAAAAAATAGTGACAAGCTTCCCCCTCTGCAGTTAGGGATGGGCTTCTCCAGGGCAATGCTCCCCTCCAGAGTTAAATAGTTACATCCTTATACTGGAGCTCCTTTTTTCCTGCTGAAATCATGTGTGTAAAAGCTGATTACAGCAGGAAGTTTTATGTGCAAGATGCATCTGTCTTCTGTCAGTGGCATTGCTGAATACATGACCTGGGCAGAAAGACTGATGGGGAAGAGAGTGTGCATAGTTTCTCTGGCTGCAAAGCTTAAGTAGCCTGGCAGGTGGGATTTTGACAAATTTGTCATGCTGCTGCAATCTGCATACTGATATTGCTAAACTTCACTGTCTTGCAGGTAATATCTTCATCTGCCACAAGCTGGTAGTTGTGGGCCCTGCTGGGCAGGAAGAGAGTGACAGTGAAGATGAACTTTCTTCTGGTGTGGTGTATAAGATTGGTAGGTTTTAGCCCATTTTACAACTAGCTCAAGACTAGGGCTGCTTATTACTGCTTGATATAGCTCTGTCCTGCTGACTGAAGAGCCTTGCATACAAAACTGATAGCATAGTCCTGAATGCTTCTGCTACTTACCACAATTAATTCCTGTCAGGACACAAGTCTCAGAGTCATGTGCTTGTTTCCAAGACCAGATTCCTGTGTAGGCTTGTGCTCTTAACTTGGTATTTCCTGATTGCTCTGTTGGTGCCTATAAAATGCAGGTTTTTACTGATGGTGAAGATCTGCATCAATTTGCTCCATTAGTTTTTTGCTCTTTGTCTCAGGTGACCTTGGCCATGTGACATCAATAACAAATCCCGAGGTGGAGGAAGGAGACAGACGGTTTTTGGCCAATGAGGTTTTGCAAGAGGTACAGCTGGTAGTGGGGTGGTGGGGAGAAAGGGGTGGGAATAGAATCCAGTGTTGTGAAATCTTTAGTCTGGCATATTCCTTGCCTTATCTTGTCTTTCTTGTGTTTGGTCTGGCTGTGAAATCAAAATTAACACTAAGTGTGGATCTTGTGTAAATATATATTGTACTTCATAAGTAACTTCATTGTTAGATTGTTGCAACTATTGAACCTGTGAAGGTCAAATGGGACAAAACTTCCATCAGTTTGGAGGCATTTCATGTTGCACACTCAGCTGAGATGAAATTGCTGGAGGAATATATGCATCCAGACAAATGCCTTGTACAAGAAGCACTGATTGGGTAGTTTGGGGAGGTGTGATGCACAACATGCCTGAAACTGGCTGTGGTTTTGTCACTCTGGCCAGTGAAAAAAAGGCAATCTGTATGTAACAGCCAGCTTGGATGTGTTCATCACCTTGGGTATTTGACAGTATCTTTTTGTGCTGCAAGTGAATTTAGGAACTGTTAGGTAGATACATCACATGCAGTCTTCAGTTTGGGTTGGCCATGGCTAGCTGACTGCATTGTGGTGAAGGCTGGAGGCACAAATACCTTAGTTAGGCTGTCCTCTGGATTTGCTGAGGTGATCCTAATGCAGGGTGCAAGCTTCTTGCACTCTCCCAGGTGAAGGCCAGTGTGCTGTTAGTTACCAGTGCTACCCACCATCAATGTTCTTATCTGAAAGAGACGACAGCTAATGGGGATGGCAAAGGCAGTATCATACGTATACTACTTTGACTGTTCTAACTGGTATCCCCTGTTCTAACTGGTGCCCCAAATAAGACATTTTCTGTTTCTCTCCTCTTGGCAGAAATACTGCCACTTGCCCAAGGCAGACATCTTTGCCCTGGCACTCACAGTAGCTCTAGCAGCTGGCGCAGCTCCGCTGCCTCACAATGGGACCATGTGGCACCACATCCGCCAAGGCAACATCCCAGCCATCCCCCAGAAGCTTCCTCATTGCTTTCTTGAGCTCCTCAAGGTGAGGAAGTACTCTTGATGGGATGGAGGCTTTCCCAGTTGGCATGTGATGAAGAATTAAACTCTGAACTTCTTTGTCTTCTAGCTCATGATCCATCCTGATCCAGTGGAACGACCTTCTGCCACAGCTCTAACTAAACATCCAGTTCTCTGTCCTTCACGTGGAAAAGCTGTGCAGCTCCAGAAGCAGCTAAACGTGGAAAAGTGCAAGACTGCCATGCTGGAAAGGTAGGGCTGGCTTGGGTGTGAATGGGAGAAGACATGGGTACAGCAAGTGTTGGTCACCAGGCTGGAATGTAGGGTGGTTGTGTTGGAAGACCCAATGTGCAGAAACACCCAGTCATCTCCTGTCCCTGGAGCTGGGAGGGTGATGGGGCTGTAGTACACACCTGTAGTGCCCCAAGCAGCGGTGGTTCACTTCTGACTTTGAGGAGCTGGCTAAATGAGAGCAGTGAACTTGTATGCTTATTGCAACCACTGGTGATGGAAAATAAACCTAACATGCAGCCAGTGGGCAGATGAGGAATTGGTCCTGCACTGAGATAGTGGTCTAACACAGTAGGAAGAGAAATATGAAGTGGTGGCAGACTGCTTTCCCCTTTGTTCCCTCTTACTGCTGTTGGCAGTAACATTTGGAGGTGCTGGGATCTAGGAACTGCCCCACTATGCTTCTTAGTGCACTAGTTGGCTGGGGAATAGGTTTTCTATCTAGACAGGAGAGAAACAACCATCATGGGGAAAAAAACAATGGAAAAGAAGCATGTGCCTTTATAAGGTATTTGTGCTGAATGGGATGGCACTGATCATTCACAGATACCTGAAACAACGAAAGAAAAGCTGAGCTAGGGACTCTTCACACTGGTGCCAGTGTGTTGCTCACCTGATGTATATTTTATTTTGGTAAACCTTCAAAGCTGGTCTGTTCTGAAGTAGGAACTCTAGAGTGAGTTACAGCAATCTGCATATCACCCCCTGGGGTGAAAAGTTACCAGTTTCCAGCACTGCTGGAGTACTGTAGTAACACTCTTGTGCAAGATTGCCCATAGCTTTCTTCTGTAGCTGGTGGGGATTCATGCATGGTAAGGTTTTCTTCCTCTTCCTTCCATCTCATCCCTGCAGGGAACTTAAAGCAGCCCGCCTTGCCCAGACCCTCATGAAGGACCAGCCCTTAGGAAGTGCCAAGTTGCAAGAGTCTGAAACCTCTTCTAAGCAGAAGAGCAAACGCCTGGTGGGAGGGAAGAGCTGTCGCTCATTTAGCTTTACATTGGGTTACTGAACTTCTGTGTTGCCCAAAAAGCTCTGACTGGCCCTGTGAAAGCAGAGGGTCTGCACAGACGAGTGCCCCACATCATCTCTCCCTGTTGGTTTTTTTGTTCCCTCATCAGTTATGATAATATGTTGGTTGAGGGAAGTATGACTTGCTTGTGAATGTCAGATCATGGGATTTGAGATTGTCCTTTTGTCTTTTACCTGTTTAACTTGTGTAACTGGTTGTCTTCTAGACTAGGAATAGTTTTAGCCATACAAGGAAAAGGATGGCATTTCCTCTACTTGCTTCCCTCTGTTTAGTTGGGCCCTATTATTGATGATGATTTTGTGGTCTTAACACTGGCCACCTGTGTATCTTTAGAGGGGAGAGAGTGGTTGTATGAGGCAGCATCCACAGCTGGGTCCTCTTAGAAGTGAGGAGGTAGAGACTATGGCAGACGGTTTTAGCCACACCTGAGGAGGCAGGCTGGTTACACGGGGGTCCTGCTGGACTGGGGATGCAGCTGGAGTGCCATTTCACTGACAGGGACAACAGGGAAACACTTGGGAGTTCAGGGGGCCTTGTGGAACTTGAAGGGAAACTTTCCCTCCCTTAACTTCCAGTGAAAAGCTCAAACCTGTGCAACCAGTTGACCTTTAGCAGACGAGTCCCTGATGCCCGTTTTCTGTCTGTTGTGAGGTCTCCTCCTTTAAAGCAGGGGAATGACCTGGGCTGGTGGCCAGGGCCGTGTAACCTGTTTTCCTGCCTGTGTCTGACACCTGGTGTGACCACCTCTCGGCAAGGGCGAGGGAGACTAGAAACCCTGTTCTTGTCAGCGTTTTGGAGCTGCCCGTGCGAAGTGTGTGTGTGTTCCATAGGTGTTAAATCTTGCTCCCCCGCGGAATGTCTGTCTGGGTCCCTGCCAGGCTGCGGTGGCCGGACAAGAAGGGTTTCCTGCTGCTGCCGAGGGTGCAATCGGTAACTCGGCTGCTCTCGGGTTTTACTGACGTGTGTTCCCGCACGTCGGGCGGCGCTGCCTTTCAACTCTGTAGATCCCTCCTTTGTGAAGCGAAACGAGCCCATAAAGATGTTTTTTAAA